CTCGGCTAATGGCTGGGGCTGGGCTTTTTGCGGCCGGGAGCTGTGCCCCTGGCACCTATGCTGCTCTGTTTGTTCCTCCCCAGCTCCCCGGGAAGAAGGACCTGTTCATCGAGGCAGATCTGATGAGCCCCCTGGACCGAATCGCCAACGTCTCCATTCTGAAGGTACCCGCGGGTGCACTCTGGCCAGGGCAGTACTAAACCAAGGCCTGGCTTTAGGGCACTGGGCAGGGTGGCTGGCTGCGGGCCACAGGCAGCTGCTCAAGTGGTTTTGCAAATACAGTGAGTTCAACCTCATCTACATTCGTCCATGTGGCTGGCCCTGTTTGCAGAACCATATTTCTCTGCACAGGGAGGCCCAGGACTAGATCGATGGCAGTTCTGGGGGCTGCAGGTCAGGCCTGAGAGAGGTTGACAGATCTGTGTGTAGGGAGTTTCCTGTATTAGCCCATAGTGGAAACCTCTTGTTCCATGTCTACAGTGCCATGTGTGGTGATCACTTCACACGCTGCATCACCAGGTCGCTGCCCTGTCGAGCAGGCAGCTGCGGGGCGCAGACTCACAGGAGGGGGATCTGGCTTTGTGCAGCAGCCGGAGGCCTGTGAAGGGGGCTTCTGGAATCAGCTACAAAAGCTACTACAGTCTGTGCAGGGTTTGTAAGTTAACACTCTCCTCCCCTCCTATTTCTCTAGCAACATGAAGTGGACAAGCTGTACAAAGTGGAGAACAAACCCATCGTTAGCACTAGTGACCAGTGAGTCTCTTACCTGACCTCAATGGCTCTGTGTGGGTCATACCTGGAGCCTGCCCAGCTGCAGCTGTACTCTGCACCTCCACAGGCTTGACCAGACACACTGCACTGCCCTGTGCCCAGGGGTCTGCCTCTCCGCAGTGCCGTGTCAGGCGCACGCCCTCTCCCAGGAGCCTCTTCTCTGTGCCCTTTCAGCCTGGGCCATGGCTCTGAGTAAGCTGAAGGGTGTGGGCCTGGTGCTGGCTGCCAGCACTGCAGGGGAGTGAGAGCTGAGAGGCTGCTGTGGGACTTGGGAGCAGGGATATACTTGGGGGTTTGGTGATGTGACAAGCGGAGCTCAGGCAGCTAGTCTGGGGGCTGCGTTCCCATCTCCTACCTTCAGCTCAGGAAGCTGCCTGCCTCCCTGGGCCTGCTTTCGCTGTGTCTCTGGCTTACCAGGGAGGGCCCCAGCATGGCATTCGTGGGCGGGAGGAGGGGAGGGCTCCAGGAGTGTCGGGTCCTATTTCTGGTGCCGGTCTTGTGTCCCTCCCCACCTCCCAGTTAGTGAGTCTCTGTCTGCCTCACTCCAGGTTGTGCTTCTTAGTCCGGCCACGGATCAAGAACATGAAGTACGTTGCTGGTGAGTGAGAGCTGTTGCTTGCCATGCAGATATCAGTGGTTACTTATGTAGGGCCCGTACTATGGGGTGGCTTCTGGGTAGGGCTGGCTAGCAGACTCCACTGTCTGGTGCCGGGGATATTGGCGAGTGTGTGAGGGGGGCAGTTACTGTCCTGGATTGTCAGGCTCTGGGTAATCCTTGGATAGGGGTGAAGTTGGTGCTGGGCAATCCCAAGAGGCGAGTGCTAGCATCCGGGCATAGGGTGACTTGGAGCTCAGGGCCAGAGGCT